TAAACAGTATCTATACAGATATCTTACCACAACATAAACAGTATCTATACAGATATCTTACCACAACATAAACAGTATCTATACAGATATCTTACCACAACATAAACAGTATCTATACAGATATCTTACCACAACATAAACAGTATCTATACAGATAACTTACCACAACATAAACAGTATCTATACAGATATCTTACCACAACATAAACAGTATCTATACAGATAACTTACCACAACATAAACAGTGCCTTGAATTCCCCAGCTATCAATTCTCCACTTGACTGCTGAATCAGACTTGAGGACTAATACTAAGTCCTTAGCAATGACTGCTTTGTTAGTTCTTGCCTCGGCTGCTCCTTGGGGATGGAGATGAATAACGACTTCACTGAATTCTTCTGTTGACATTAGTTTCACCACATGAACATCCCTAATCAATAATGTTAAATACATTAGTTTCACCACATGAACGTCCCTAATTAATAATGTTAAATACATTAGTTTCACCACATGAACATCCCTAATTAATAATGTTAAATACATTAGTTTCACCACATGAACATCCCTAATTAACACATTGCTACATCAATGTAGTAGGCTATTTACATTTTAGGCTACTTACGAACTGACCATTAATGGAGTTATTTTATCTTAGATTTAGCAGTGTGTTCTGTATGGACCCCTTGGGATATTTAAACATACTTTTTACAAGTTATGCCCCAGATTGCTTGTAGGTCCCGCACTTTTAGTTTCATGGCCCCTATAAGTGACACAAAGAATTATATAAATAAAATACCATCAGTATCGTAATTAATTCCATTAATTACCGTTGGAGTTCTACTGCTTATTTTTTATAGAAAATGAATTATTTTGGCCAACTTTGTATTGTTGGTACTTTGCATTGGGTATTGAAATGAATTGAAAACATAACATTAACAACACGTGGACCCCATCTGTAATCAATAATATCAAAATAACATAGTAATTTGAAGGTTTCAAGTTTGTAAGAATGAATGTTAATTGGATGGTTTTCTGTTCATTACTTGACTTAATTGAATCATTTAACATTATTAATTAGGGATGTTCATGTGGTTAAACTAATGTATTTAACATTATTAATTAGGGATGTTCATGTGGTGAAACTAATGTATTTAACATTATTAATTAGGGATGTTCATCTGGTTAAACTAATGTATTTAACATTAGACGTAGGAGATATACTTCAAAGATATCTTTACTTTAACAAGTGCTACATTGACGTAGGAGATGTACTTTAAAGATATCTTTACTTTAACAAGTGCTACATTAATGTAGGAGATGTACTTTAAAGATATCTTTACTTTAACAAGTGCTACATTGATGTAAGAGACGTACTTCAAAGATATCTTCACTTTAACAAGTGCTACATTGACGTAGGAGACGTACTTCAAAGATATCTTTACTTTAATGTGCTACATCAATGTAGTAGGTATATATTAAAAATATCCACTCTTTAAATGTAGCACTTGTTAAAGTAAAGATATCTTTGAAGTACATCTCCTATGTCAATGTAGCACTTGTTAAAGTCAAGACATCTTTGAAGTACATCTCCTACGTCAATGTAGCACTTCTTAAAGTAAAGATATTTTTGAAGTACATCTCCTACATTAATGTAGCACTTGGTAAAGATATCTTTAAAGTACATCTCCTATGTCAATGTAGCACTTGTTAAAGTGAAGACATCTTTGAAGTACATCTCCTATGTCAATGTAGCACTTGTTAAAGTAAAGACATCTTTGAAGTACATCTCCTACATTAATGTAGCACTTGTTAAAGTAAAGACATCTTTGAAGTACATCTCCTACAT